AGCACTTATTCCACTGAGCCATCTCCCCGGCCCAGGTTTTTTGGGGTTGTTTTTGTTTTTGTTTTTTAATTGTTCCAGAAACTGAACTCAGGACCTTGCACTTGCCAGGCAGGAGCTTATGCCACTGAGCTAACTCCCCAGCCCAGAGGCAGCATTCAGGAGGTGAGGCTTGGGGCAAGGGCCAGAGCTTCATGAACTCATGAATGCCTTCCACTTGTTTTCCCTTGCTTTGCCCTAGATTACTCATCAAAAGACCAGGGTACTATGACGTGAACTTGCTTCGTCAGCTTTCCTTCCTTCTCTGTGTGCTCGCTTCCCTTCCTCTTTCTACCGTGGGTTGGAGCAGCAGGAGGACTCACCAGAAGCTGTGCAGATTCCCCAAGCGATCTTCCACTTCCTGGCCTCAGAACCAAGGGCTGAAGGAATCCCGACCCTGTATGAATATCTGCCTCAGGTATTCTGTTATTAGGAACAGCAGGCTTGAGATATCATACTTCAGAAACCAAAAGGAGGCCCCCATGATTCACCTACAATGAGGATGGGGAAGCTGGAGGGAGGGAGCAGGGGAAGCAGGCAGCTCACAGACGTTGTCCTCCACCAATAGGAAGCAGCTGAACGCTGAAGGTAACAAACAACACAGTTCCAAACACTTCTGAAGAAGATGCCTCTGCAACCACATGGAGAGCAGCTTGAAAGCAGCCCAAAAGTGGGGTGGGCTGGGGAGATGACTCAGTGGAATAAGCACTTCCCTGGCAAGCACAAGGGCCTGAGTTCGATCCCTGGTTCCACTGGGGTGGGGGGGAGAAGCTGCTGCCTCACACCAAGGCAATCTCAGTACAGAGCCCAATTCAGGCCCTATTGTAGGGACTCAGATGGCGCACTCAGCTCTTTTTTTTTTTTTTTTTGGTTCCGCGAACGCCTTCAGGGCACTTTTGGCCAGCTGGAGAGGTGTGAGGTTCGAACTCCAGCAACCTGAGTCTGACAGCTTTGTGGAAGCAGCCACTTAAAGGCCTGAGCTAGGGCCAGGCCCCCAAGGTTTTTTTTTTTTTAAATTATTTATTTATTTATTTGGCAGAACCAGGGATTGAACTCAGGCCCTTGCGCTTGCCAGGGAAGCGCTTATTCCACTGAGCCATCTCCCTGGCTTGCACTCAACTCTTGAGAGTGCAGCATTTCTTCTTTCCTTCATGTTCAAGTTTTAAATGTGAGCCTGCGGCTGCCTGTGCTATGTTCTTGAAGCACATTGCTCAGGCTTTGCAGTTGGCTTTCTCTTGGTTGTCCAGGCCATGCCCTTCCTTTCAAAGAATTAGGACTCCTAGTCTGTGCCGGCACCTGGTAAATGATGGGCTGGGAGTAAAGGACAAGATCAAGACAGCAGCAGATTCAGGGTCTGGTCAGGACTCACTTTTGGGCACATAGGTAGCACCTTCTAGTTGCGTCCTCCTTGCATGAGGGAAGGAACAAAGCAGCCCTCCCAGGCCTCTTTTCTAGAAGTGCTTATCCTGTCCGTGTGGGCTTCATCTTCCACTCTCCCTCTGATAACTGTCCCCTTGGGTTCTAGGCTGCAGTGTTTGAATCTCCAGGGCAAACCAATGTTCTCACCACAGAGATGCCCTGCACATGCCCTTCTGGGTAGTCTATCCCATTTGGCCACCCCAGTACCAGAGCTAATTTGGCCAGGTAGCTGTGATGTATAGAACATGGATTCATTAGAGCTTACTTCCAATCAGCTCTCACCAGAGTGGAGGGGGTCAGGGGAGTAAGACAGAAACCACCCTAGCGCTGCAGAAAGGAAGGTGGCCTTGGGAAAGTGCTTACGAGTGTCTAGCCCATTTCACCGTGCTTACTGCATGCTGGCCTCTGCTGATTTCCCGTGGCCTCTAATCCACAGACAGGATGGCCTGCCCCTTCTTAGATCACACCATCTGCACACTGTATTTTTTCCTGCACTATCCACAAAAGTGACAAGGGTGTATAGGGATCCTGAATTAACTGGACATAGGAAATTCGGCTATCACTAGACCCACAGAGAGAGAAGCCAGTTACTGCACTCACAACAGGGCGCTTTCCGAAGGATCTTGAAGTATTCCTTTTCTTTCTTTTCAAAATATGAGTTGGAAGAGAACAAACAGAGTTTTAATAGGAGGAAGAAAACTTACAAAGATTACAAAAGTGACCGGGTGCATGCAGACAGACTAGCTTCTGATTTCGCTGAAGCACCAGTTCCTGAGTCTAGGCCTAGAGCTCATTTCCCTCGCTGAAGCCGTGCATATTTCATTCTCCCCAGAGGAACAGTTTGCTCTGGATACAGAGAATCATGTAGGATAATAATCTTAGCAGACAAATGGGAGGAGACAGCCATAATAAATATGCCCTCTAAAAGAATATAGAGGAAGTAAAAGCTTGGGGCCTCTCTGGAGCACCAGCTGCTTCGTAATAAGGGCCATGATAGTGTGATTCCACAGCTAACGGGCAAAAACATCTCTTAGTTACAGGTATCAAAGAGCAAGAGTTGGGCCCCGGCTTTACGATGCCATTTAGTATGCTGGTGGCATCTGCTCACAACCTAGATGCTTTCCCTGACACCAGAAGCAGGATGCCTTCTGTTGTTTAACTCCCAAAGTCTCCCATTCCTGCAGCCTGTTTCCATCTCAACTCTCTCCTAACCAAAGACTGTCCAGTCCCTTTGCTCTTTACTGAGAAGTTTCTTGCAAGAAAGCCTAAATAATTGCATGCGTGCTTACAGAACCAAGATCAGTCCTGCATGAAGATATGATTATAACAATAAGGAAGGTAACAACTGGAACTGTTTTTATTTATTCAGTTCCACTCACTGATAACAAAACTTAGGAGTTTCGATAAATGAGACAGCTCCTGGTGAGAAAATTGACAACATTACAGGACTATAGAAGTATGAAATAAATTAATAAAAATAAGGGACCATGTGACCTACAAGGCTCATAGAAAAGGGCAAACCCATCCAGGTGAGAAGAAAAAGATCAGGGATGCTGCTGTGGCTTGAATGTGTCCCCAAAAGTTCATGTGCTAGAAACTTAGTCCCCAGACATCATCTATTATTGATACTTGGAGATGAGGCCTTTGAGAGGAAATTAGGATTATATGAGGATATGGGGGAGGTTGCTGGTGACAGCGTTATTGGCTTTATAGGAAGAGAGAAGCCTAAGCTAGCCTGCTTGTTCTGTATTATTCTACACCACTTTGTACCATGTTACATGCACCAAGATGACCCTTACCAGTGTTGGCACCTAGATATTAGATGTTCCAGCCTCTAGAACAATGAATGAAGTAAACTACTATTATTTATAAATTATCCAGCCTATGATATTCGGTCATAGCAACAGAAAACAGACTAAGATAGAAAACAGGCAGAACATGCCTTCATGGAGGTGGCATTTGAGACAAGTCTTGGGAATTTGGGTAGAGGTAAGGCACAGTAGCAGCAGGATGGGGGCATGAACTGGGCCTGGACGAGATTGGAGAGATTGTCTTCGCTACAGACACTATACTAAGCCATTAGGACACCTGGGAGGTTATGCAGATGTTATCCAGTGTCTACGGCTGATAAAAATTGTAATTCGGAAAAAGTATTACAACTAGAAAAGGTCTCTGTTGGGTAAGAAGCATAGAGGTGTGAAATTCCAAGTGGTCAGGTAAGAATGCTGACAAAAATAAGTTAATCATGATTCTAAGCAATCTGTTAATTTCCAGGAATTACTGAGGGTTTAGAATCTCATCTACCAGGAGAAGGGGTTGGCAGGAGCTGGGCGCCTCAGGACTCCCTGTCAATAGGTAGGGCATGGGGACAACATCTGAATCCTGAAATGGTTCTGGGGCATTGGCAAGGTACCAAGCAGACTGCAGAACCATACATGAGGTTCAAGGCAAGAGACTCAACCAGGACAGCACTTGTGGAGGTGATGCCGGGTGCTTTGTCTCTGAGCTACTCAGCAACAAGAGTTTCCTGCAAGGCTGTGGGGAAGCCTCTAAGGAAGACGTGAGAGCTTGGCAGCTTCGTTTGAAGCCCAGTGAGTGGCAATGCCAAGCCAGAAGTCATGAGCGACAGTGGCAAGCAAACTACGGGAATCTTGTTCTGCTCCCAGAAGTGGAAGTGCTCACAGATCAGTGAAATCTGCAAGGCACACTCCTGCAAGGTCTCCCTCCAAGGAAGATTCCAGGCATTTCAGATCCAAGTCCAGGTCCAGATCCGAATCTAGGTGTAGATCCAGAAGAAGCTCTCCAAGGCATTATCCAAGGTCACCATCTCAATCTTCTCATAGATTTTCCTGTAGCAGGTCTTACAGTCAGGATTATCGCAGACGCCACAGCCACAGCTATTCTCCCAATGTCTACTCGAAGGCATCATTGTGGGACTCAGGTGAATCCTGACCCAAACTGTTGTCTTGGAGTGTTTAGGTTGAGCTTGTACAGCACAGAAAGAGATTTAAGAGAAGTATTCTTGAAATAGGGCCTAACTGTCAACATGTCTATTGTGTATTACCAGCAGTCTAGGTGTTCAAGAGGATTTGCCTTTGTGTATTTTGAAAATGTAGACAATGCCAAGGAAGCTAAAGAATGTGCCAACAGAATGGAACTTTATGGGCATAGAATCAGAGTAGGTTTCTCTATAACAAAAAGATCACATGCCCCAAGAGAATCAACCAAGGCCTGACACACCGTGGAGACTCTAAGGCTCAAGGAGCCTCAACTGTATTTGTGCATCCACATTCAGCCCAAGGCAACCAGATATGCACTTCTGTGCAGTGATGAGCTACAAAGCCAAGCCTCACTAGATGGTAAGGCTTTCCCCGCCGTAGGGCCTGGGATTCTGCACTGGGGCCTGCGTACCTGTGGCAGATGCACCATGCGTGCAGTGTTGAGACGAGAAAACTGAGAGAAAGCTGGGGAAAATGAAGCAAGGCAGAGTCCAACATGCCTTGGCCTGAGTCCAGCGGAGTAGCTGCACCAAGATGCTGCTCTTCCTGTGGTGCCCACAACACTGCAGATGGAGACTACTGCAGAGCAAGCAGGTTACATGGGCGGACACACTCAGATAATCAAACAAACAGCTAGGCAAGACAGTAATTTTATATTTTCCACTTTTTAATGTGTCTTGTCTTTCCTCAGTATAAATATTGTTGATTCTACACTTGATCTTAGCCAAAAGGCCAAGAAGAAATACTACTGTAGAGTCTGAATGAAATATGTTTTTCCCAAAAGAACCAATTGCCCACTTTCTTATTTATCTTCATATTTCACTTTACAGTTCCTGAACTATTCACAAAGCAGCTCCATAGTCATAAATTGTTGCCTGGGAAACATTTTTTACTGTTAAATAATTCATATTACTCTTAAATATTTATACATGCATAGGTATAGATATAAATGTGCCAAGCTAAAATACAGTCCTAATTCTTTACATGTACAACTGAATGGTTGAACACTAAAGTTGCAAGCATTTTCCATTTTTATGAAAAAAGATACTAAGATAGAGGTATATTTTCCAAAAATTAGTAGCTCAGCTTTGCTTACTTTTTGTGTAAAATCAGAGTTTGTTCACCTTATTGATTGTAAGATCATCTTGAGTATTTTAGATGAAAAATTACCATCTAAAAGCAACTAGACAAGAAGAATTTGATATTCTATATGTATCATTTATATTGCATAAATATACATTCAAATTTATGCATTCTTATTCCTCCCGACCAAGAGCTGGCATTCCCAGCCTGCAGCTGGCCACCTGTCTCCGTGACCGAGTTCTGCTGGCGCACGGCCACGCTTGTTCACTTGTGTATTATATATAGTCACTTTCACAGCACAGCAGCCAGGCAGCATAGCTGGGACAAAAGCCATATGTGAGGCTAAAATATTTCTATCTTGTCCTTTAAGAAAACACTTTGCTATAAATAGCATCGATACATACTGTGTTAATGAAAACTAAAAAATATAAAAAGAAAACAATTTGCTGATCCCTGCTTTAAGTTGCTATCAACAGAGCACAAATTATATGACGATTTCACTTCTAGCATCATTAGTGGTCATACTAGCATGAAGGCATGTTTTGCAAAATGAATAGGTAATAATTTATGGAATAAATATTTTACTCTGCATCGAATTCTTCAACATTAGACCTAAATATGTGAATCCAGTTGTATTTGGTATGTTCAACTTTTTTTTTTTTTTTTTTTTTTTTTTTTTTTT